AAAGTTATTAATTTTTCAGTGTCAGAAAAAAAGAAGGAAACATATATTTAGCAGAAAATCACACAGAAAATTACGAAAACTAGACCTAAAAGAAGCCTAAAGCCTTAAAGCACTAAGCACAATATCACCACTATGGGTATGAAAGGTATAGCTGTCAAGAAGCTGTTACTGAGAAAAGAAAATAGACATAAAAGTGTTTTTAGCACTATGGCACCAAATTTGAGCTAGAACACTGAAATTGGACAGAGCTCAGACCTCAACATCACTGAGTGTGTTTGGGATTATTTGGATCTTGAGATGCAAAACATGCAATCAACCTTTAAGGCTGAACATTGTAGGTGTTTACAAGAAGCTTGAAAAAAATCTTCTTCTTTGGAAAACTGAAACAACTCTTCTGAGAAAAATGGAATGAAGGCAAAGGGTGGACGCACTAAACACTGACAAGAACTGATATTAAGGTTCAGTTGTTGAGTTGTCTGTGTGTTATTCTGTGTGTACACTCCCATGTCAAGCCCAAAATTGCAAAACATTCAACTTTAACGGTCTTTAAACAAATCATTAAACAATTAGATATAATGACTTAGTATGGGACAGATTTTCGCTTTGATTTCCTTAAGTGTTGAAGTCTTGTGGGTAAACTTGCAGACAACGTTTTACAGCAGGAAGAGTCAATATTTTCACACTCAGCATCAACGGCTTCAAACAGTTGAAAATACATTGCCAAAGCCAATACATTCTCTATGGGGTTGAAATTTTGACTGTGACCAGGCCAAAACCATCAGAAAAAAAAACAGTATGTTTTGGGTTTGGCCTATTTTTTTTTCACAGGAGTGGAAAATAAATAAATAAAAGGGTGGTCTCTGGGGTGGTAAAATGGTGGTTCATCTTAAAATAGTAATAATAATGTGTATTTTCTAAGCCTAACTCTAAACCTAACCCGAACTTTAACCTCCTCTAAAAAGAAATGGTTTTATTCACTCAGCTCAAAAAAATGACAAATGCTTTTTCTAGATTTCTTACATTTTTGTTTAGAAAATGTTTGAAAAACAACACCCCCCTCCCCCCAAACACACACAATTAATAGAAAATGTACTTGTTAAAGACACCACCATAAGAGAATGATCTCTGTTTTCCAGTGCCAGCTCCACTGAAAATGAGAAGAAGAAGAGTGCCATCTGGTAGCGCTCCTGCAGTCACTTAAGAGCCATTAAAGTGTGTGGCTGCATACATGTGTATGCGTGAGTCAGGGAAAAGAGATCTGCTCTGTTCTTTAGTTCCATCACTGGTTCAGTGTGTATGCAGTGAACACCTGGAGTGATGAATCAGTTACTGAGTAAGGCACACAAAAGAATTAATCACATTATGATAGCAGTGTATTTACATTTGTTCATCTATTTAGCCTACAGCAGTTTAACAAGCCTGTTCACACCGAAGTTATAAGGAGTGTTTCAGCTGGTTTGCTTTTTAAACAAGGCTCAATACAGGGCAATTAAAACAGAGATCATTTACACATATCAGTCTTGAAAGCATGATAAAAGAAATTAATTATGAAAAAAAAAAATATATATATATATATACACACAGAATTAATAAATTACTGTCTTTAATACTTAAATTACACCAATACTATAAATGGAAAATATAAGAAAAATGCCAATACAATATGGGCTCTTTAACACATTTTATTCTTTGTGAAAGTAAAGAGGCAAGTAAACATCACCTGTAGTCGTGTCAGGAAACTACTGGCAATTTGCTGTAATTTGATTGTACTGTGTTTTTATAATAATTATTATGATTTTATTGCTGTAATGTTACAAAGAAATCCCACAGTATAGTATTGTATATTTATAGTACTTTATTGACAAATAAGCTGCCAGTACATTACGTACTTAGACTAAAATTCTTTTGCTTTGAGTGACCTATGCCTTAATTATGTTTATTTTATTAAAACAAATGATTGAGCACCTATTTTCACTACCAAACCAATCATAACAATATTGAAACTTTACAAAATGTTTTGGTAGTGAATGTTTCAGCAATTTTAGCTCATGTTAAGCAGAACTCAAAAGCCAGTACGCAGCCTTCAACAGTTCACACATACAAACAAACATATAAACATAAAAATATTTTTAATATAAACATTTTTATTAAAACACAGAAAACGTTTTCTTATTTGCAGAAAATATGTGTTTCTGTAGTGACAAGGCACAATGGCCCATATATGTTTCTACATGTTCAATCCATCTGCAAGTTAAATGCAATTTAAGCTCTGGTCAGTGTGTGGGGGGTAAAGTGCACTCCTTGCTCTCCACCAAAACTCCACACCTGCCTCATACATTCTAAATGTTCAGTACTTCTGCACAGATTGTGCCAATCTCTGTTGGCCCTTTACTTGGTTCTGGCAATGAGACATAGTGTTTTTTCTCTGCAGTCAGATTGAATGTGTGATTGTCAGTGCCTTTTTGTTTCTCTTTATCTGAATATGAAATGTCTTTTTGCACGTCTGTGCTTCCATATAATATTACGTGTATGTGGCCGTGTGCCACAATCTGTCTAATATCAAATCTACTTCAATAACAGACAGATGTACAGGTAAATGCTTTGTTTTATGTAAATCACTGTTTTAATTATAAAGCATGTGTTATATTAATCTTACTAAAGGTTTACATTGGCTCATTTGGAGTATCACACAAATGCCAGAATATATGTTTGTTTAGTTTCTTTAACATAAAAATTACATTTTTCTTAAGTACAACTAGTGTAGCGCCCTTTAAATAGGGACAGCATGTTTATTTCCTTTCTCAGGAAAGTGTGAGAGTAGCTGGACATGTGGAGCATTTCAATTAGCTAAGCTACTCTAAACAACCAACATCCATCTACTGTAAGGACAGTCACTCCAACACACACACAGAACCCCAATCATACATTGATAGACTGAGAAATTAACCATTGTGCTCACTGATGTCATCTAGTGGTGAGTTCATGAATTTACACTTTAGTCAGTGAACCAGGAATAGTGAATACCCAGCAAAGTAAGTAGCTTGTTAGTAGGTATATTTACCTGCTAAATTTAGGGAGAGATGAAGTTTTAAAAATAATAATTTGCAATAAATGCTCCTCATTAGCACCTGCATTGTTAATGACATGATGTTATAAACTTTATACTAGTACAAAAAAATTAGGTAAATACTAGTGATTGTAACAATACATTAATTCTGATTAGTGCATTATTTCCCTAGGTACAACATGACACTGCCAATCCAAGGTATGTATATCAACCAAAATATTACATTTGCAGTCAAAGTTGAAAGACTATTACATGGTTTATGTTCAAGCAGAGCTTAATGGATGCTTACTATCAACATGCTTTTGGTGGAAAGATAATATTTTCAACTTGAAAAGTGCATCTTCTCATTATATATGATAATATTAATCTAACAGTCCTGTGAACATTACACAGAAGCCTCAACAACTAAATATAATATACATTTTTTTCAGCATTTAGTATGCCAACCCTTTGCCTTTATGACAGCTTCCATTCTTTTCAGGAGACTTACTTTCAGTTTTTCAAAGAAATCTGCATGGATATTTTTCCAAATAAAGTTCAGTGTTAGAAGTTGGTTGGCATTTTCTGCTTCCTACAATCCAAATAGTCCCAAATACAATCAGTGATGTTGAGGTCTGGACTAGCGTGGTGAGCTCATTATTCTGAGAACAAATCTGTTGACAAATTATTGGCCTACAGTCAAAATAACATTATGTCGAAAGTTTCCAGTATTGCCCTGGTATCAGCTAAAAGTGATTATTTCCAATGAAGATTCTTTATTCACAGTATAACTTCAACAGGCCCCAGGAAAAAATCTAAATCTAAGCTGCAGAAATAATCTTGGTAATAGAGATGGACGTTGAGAAGCAATTTTGGTTTTCTTTGTTTTTTTGTCTTACTTTTTTCTTGTGTTTTCACATGATGGATGAAGCTTTAATACTGCAGATCGCTGTCTAATGGGGTAATTTAGCATTATAACTGGCCGGCATGCTCCTATGCAAAGGAACTTGAGTTCCTGCATAGCAATTAGTGATTGAAGAATGTGTGGTAGTGTAAAAATGTGCAGCATTTTGTGAATAGATTATAACTGCTTAAAATCATTTTCAATTAAAAAATGGCTGAAATTAAATTTTAGCATAAAACAATTAAAGAAACCTTGTATTACCGTCTGCAGTTACATTTTGTATTCAGCACATTTTTCCAAATAATTCGGTACCATTTTTATAAGACTACCCTTATAAAGGTTTTATGAATGGTTAAATAGCTTATTAATGGTTATGAATTAGGTCATAATGCCTTAAAATCATTATTAAACAGTTGTAAAACATAAATACATGAAATACATGAAACAATAAAATGATCAGTGACCTGTTGTTAGCCAAATAGTGAGCCTGCATTCATCCATACTGTTGAACCTCAGAACCTGCATGTTACTTCTCTTACTTTGTCTTCTCCATCAGTTAACATTAAACCTGTCAGCTTCATCAGATATTCATGTCCAGCAGATCACATTCAAGGTCATATTGATCACATTATAGGTCATATCAAGATATTCAGGGTCACTGTTGCCCTTTTTATTTGTGTTATAACCACTTGTGGGTAACTATCAAAACATCTCCTTTCTAACGTGAAGAGGCTGGGTTTGACTTCCATCTAAGCTGCCCCCACACCAGGGCCTGCCGGCACGCCTAAAATTTTATTACCCACTTCAATATCCTAAGAATAGCTCAACCAGTTTGCACTGAAGTCCCTGTAGTTACTGAATAATAAGTCTTCGTGTGTAGTAAGCCTGGGAATTTAAAGTCACTCTGAATAAGAATGCCAGCCAAATTTCTAAATATGAATATCAAAATAATCAGACAGTATTAATGCACTGAATTGTTTTCTAAAGAATCATAATTGAAACAAATCAAATCATTGATCAGAGATTCAGAGATCAGAGATGAGATCAGAGATTTACACTGTTAACAGTCAACTTAGTCTCTTGGCTCAGGTGGTCCAAAGTCCTTCTACTTTATAGATGTCCGTGTGTTGAGTGGTGAAAGGTATCGATGTATGCGTAGGATTGGGTGAGAGACATGGGCAGTGTGAGTGGGAGCATGTGTGCTCTGGCTGTACTTTAGCTCAGGTCGTATACTGATTATCTCCAGAGAGGGGCTGAGATGGTTGAGAGTCAGCAGATTTCTGCGTGTCCTGTGAGGGCGGGTGTGTGCCTGCTTAGTGTGTGTGTGTAGACGTGCATATGAAGTTTGAAGGTGATGGCGGTCTGAAAGGTTTGGCAAAGGGCAGGAGGCTGAGGGCAAAGCCGGTCTGCGCCGTCTTTTCTCCAGCAAAGGCTGACAGGTTGAAGACCGCTCTATTGTGACCTTTCGTGAAACACTGGGCCAAGTTCTCTTCACCTCATCAGGCTGGTTCTCCTTATCAGAGGAGCGTTTACTGATTGGCAGAGCAGGCCTGGATTTGTGTAATGGCTCATAATGAGAGCGGATGAATGTTTTACAGGGAGAGGCCCGAGGACGTCTGATCTGAGCCCCCTCCACTAGAAGGTTAACACCAACATACTGAGGAACCTCTACTGCTGCCTGGAGAAATCAGAGGAAAAGACACGAAACATGCTGATGTATGTTATTTAAAAGAATATTTTCCCCATAACATAAGCATAATCAAGTAGTATGTACTTTCCGACAATGTATGATGTATTGTTATCAAACGAAAAGTCACATAGCTAAAAACAGTAGCAGGGGCCATCCTGAAGTCTACATCTCGGCCATTTTTATGAATGACAGCATGTCGTACCATGTTGAAAACTACAAAGCCAGTCTATCTGAAACAGCTAAGCCAAGTGTGTGATGAGTTAGATTAAGTTTTCACAGTACTTATTGTTGTATGTACACTTTCAGTAGCCTCTTTATGTAGACTTGTATAGAATAGAAACCAACTTGGATATTTTTATTCTAATCTAATATTTTTCCCTGTAACTCTATTATCATATTAAACTTGGACACTGACTCTGGGTGTGTGAAATGTTGTGACTGTGTTGAGCTGCTAGTAAGCAATGGGGGGGAGTAAGTGGAGGGGGGAGAGTCCCCTGCTATGAAAACAATTTAGACTTCTCCACAAAAATGGCCAAGCTGAGATAAAACGACCAGCACAACTACACTTTTATAAATGTTGGATTGTTTGCTCATCTATGAGTACAAAAAACAGCTTACTTCAAGTTTTGTAAATCATACACTTTCCATCAAAATATATTCCATCAATGTTATTGAATAATTGCAATGAACAATTGCATTCAGGGCAAACTAAAAAGGCAAGCTTCTGACAACAGGAAGATTGTTTAAATGATTTTTCAGCAACTAATCTTTTAACATCACTTGTACATGAATGCTATTGTTTGGTGAATACAGTATAAATCAGTTAGTGTATGAGGGTCATGTATGAATTGCCTAGCCTGGATGCATAAAAGACAATTACAGTGCATCTTTGTGAGTACCTGTTTGTAAATGAGCTGAAAGCCTCCAGTGTGCGCGTTGCGGTCATAGCGTCGGTCCAGCACCACACGCAGTGTGTCCTCCTGCACAGCAGGACAGAGTCGGGCAGTGACAGCTGTGGAGGGGGCCATGGTGGGGCTGACGTTGACCTCCAGCAGCCACGGGTGCAGTTCGCGCCCCAGAATGAAGTCTGCCCCGTAGAGCTCGAAGCTGGCCTTGCGAGGCTCCACACTGTCCTGTGCGGTCAGCAGTGTCTGGATCACTGCTCGTCTCATGCCTGGAAGCACCACCTCCTCCCACAGCCGGCCACGGCCTGAAGCGGCCAGCCAGGAGCGGAACTCAGCACACGACCACATGTTTTCAGCAGGCAGAGATGGGTCACGGCCTGCATTCGGACGGAAATGCTTCTGGATGGAGTTGTTGCAAAGATGGACAGAGCTGATAGAGGGGAAGACGAGGAGGGGGGGGAGTGAGTGCTCCAATTCAGATTTGAATATCAAATGATCATCTTCATATTCAAACATCTGGAATGATAAGTGAATGCAGGCATGCAGTACTGTGCACAAGTCTTAAGCCTGACAAGAAATTTGCTCAAGGCTATTTATCTGGGCAATAAATGTGTTTACAATAAAATAACATTAGAATGAATACAAACAAATGTTACAGCAGTTAAAAGTAACAATAATTTTTGATATGGTCAGAAGAATATAGGCTTGATTACTCTTCTCCCCCATACACTGCAGCACTGGAAACTACACATACTGGGCTTCCTCGGGAAGAAGTTTGGAAATTGTTAAGCTGACATAATCACACAATTTTGTGTTATGTATTGTTAAATTAACACCTTAAAATCCCTGGCATGTTACATCCCAAATTGTATTATTTTGTAATATAATATTAATATTATTATTAATATTAATACTAATATTATATACACTACAGTGCATGATTATTCTTAAGTTATTATTAAGATTTGAATTGTGTAATATAAGTTTAGACTCGCTGGCAGGTCCAGGCCATTTTCATTTATTCTACTGTCAGCGGTGCTCTGGACCAATAAACACTTACTGCCCAGATAGATTGCATTCAGTCATTCTTTCTCAGATGGCCTAAGACCTTTGTAGAGTAGTGTAGCTTAATTAGCTTTCTAATTCAGGTATGATATATGCCAGTCGTTCCCATCCCTGTTTCTTGAAGCCCTACCTTGCATATTTTGCATTTTTCATGCTCTAAAAGACCTGCTCCAACTAACCAGCTCATTAACAAGCTCTCCCTGAGTTGAACATGGTATGTTAGAGCAGAAAAGTTAAAAAGTAAGCAACCTGGCTGCCTTAAAATTTTAGATTAAATGAACCTGTGGGGCAGTTCTTTAGTTATGCTCTCACACCAATCTGTATATGAGGTTCATTGGTAACCATGAATCAGGGGAGCACTAAGAGTCTGTGTGACATTAGACTTACATTATTACATATTACATTATATTAGTGTGAAACATTCTCCTGTGGTCTATGTCTCTTTCTCTCTCACCTGTCCAGTCTGTGAGTGGAGTAGGGCTGAGTGGAGAAACGCAGGTAACACTCATCATAGAACCAGACTGTGAGAGGGTTCCAGTCCGTGACCAAGAACCACTGACGCAGATCGAATTTAGTGCCATGAACCAGCAGAGGGCGCTCCAAGTACTTCTGCACTACCCACTTACTGTCTTTAATCAGGGCAGGTTCACTGTCTACTAAACTCAGCATCTCATCTAACCTGTTCATACATACAATACCTGCGACATGAGAGAATGACAGAGAAGAATGCATTAAGGTGATGTCACTTGCACATACACTGTTCTCTTTAGCATAAACGGTTTTCTTTATATGATCAACTAATTTTGTAGCCCCAAACAAGCACACCAACACACATCACTGGCTCACCTCTGCCTCGTGACAGAGCACCTGGTTTGATAATCCAGATGTTACCGAGTCCATCAGTTTCCAGCTGTGGACAGACTTTCTGCATGCGGGTTAACATGGACCTACAGTGCTCTGCATACTCGCTACACCCCTCGATTATCGCACCATCACTACAGAGGAAATATACACTTAGTAATTTTCAAGTTAGTTATATTCAATTCAAGTCATGCTTTGAACTGCTCTTTAAGAAAAGTGATTAAAATAAATTGATCATATTGTACTCACTGAATAACAAGGTAGTATTTCTGGATAAAGTCATCCCACTGCTGTTCTGAGAGGGAAGAAGGACAGTCCACATCTATGTCATTGTGTTCTCGACTGCTCAGATACTCCTGACACACATGCAATGCAGTGTCAATCAACCCAGCTCCAAGCCTCTGATTGGGTCGTAGCTTATGCTGCTTATTCACATCTGCAGACAGGCAGAGAGACAACCTGCATTTCACTATTGCCATCATGAGAAAAACCTGGGAATATATGCTATAAAGGCACTACATATGCATTAAAGAACCCATATCCTGGCAAAAACACATTTTTCTCACTTCTTTAAAATAAAATAGTTTGATGAAACATGTAAACTTTGTTAAAGTCTCAAAAAATACTGTCTACTCCACAGTCCATATATGGCAACTATACTTCAAAACAGCCTGTAATTTAACTCCACTCATTCACAATGACGGTGTAAGGAGTGTTTCACCTCAGAGTGTTTTTTAAACAAGGCACAACATAGGACAGCCAGTCAGAACACAGCTCATGTATCTTATATTGGTCTTAAAGGCACAAAAACAGGGTGTTCAGATCTGTGGGATAGATTTAAGGAGAGGTCGGAAAATAGACATGTACCACTTTCATGAATTTTCATCACAATATAAGTTGTTGTGAGTGTACTTTACATATACAAGAAATATCAATGTGATAGTGTGTTAATATTTCATAATGATTTGTTCAGATTAATGTTTAGATTAAGTTTTATGTTTATGCATGAGTATTTTACCCTGAGACTGTTTAAAACTACAGAATTCTCCTGTTGTGTCCACCTCCCCTCCTTCAGCTCTCTCCACCACATAGCGCAACAGGCTTGTGCATGCAGTTCGTCTGAAGTCCTCTGTGGGGTGCAAGATAGAGGGGGATTTATTTTTAATTGACTTGCTTAAATGCTGTGGGTGGGCTCTCTAAACTGGATGGACACTGACGCTGACCAGTGAAAGCATGTTTTTCATCCTCCGCCCCCAGCCTGTAGCAGCGTGGGAAGAATGTGTCAGGATCTGTTGAGTCAAACCACTGGAGATTCCTCAAACTCATACACAGACCCACCTGAGAGAGAGAGAGAGAGAGAGAGAGAGAGAGAGAAACAGAGACAGAGAGAGTGAGATAGTGTGAGTGAGAGAGACAGAGTGAGATAGATAGATAGAGAGAGAGAGAGGAAGAGAGAGAAGACAGATAGAAAGATGAAGAACCGAATATGAGAGCGAGAAAGAAAGAGACAGAGACATAGTGTGAGTGAGACAGAGTAAGATGGATAGAGAGACAGAGAGAGAGAGAGAAAGACAAAAAGAAACAGAGTGAGAGACATAGAGACAGCGTAAGATAGACAGAGAGAGAGAGAGAGAGAGAGAGAGAGAGAAGAGAGAGAAGAAGTGGGAGAAACAGAAAAACAATGAGTGAATTATTCAGGTATTTTTGACAGACTATACATGACAAATTTTAAATAAATTGCCATTAATGGTATTCTGCATTTTGTATTTGAGTGAGCTTTGAGAGAGACCTTAGTAGTGAAAGATCCAGCTTTTGCGTAATGATTAGTCATCTGGTCTTTTCTTAATGACAAACAGTCGACTGTGTCCCTCCTGGTTGTCCAGTAGAAATATGTAGTTTCGTTGCGCACCAGGCGAGACTACAGGGTTGAACAGTAAAATACATTTACAATAAAAAGACAAAGGAACAAGAAGAACAAGAGGAAAAACTTCCAACATTTGCTGTGGTAAGTGATAGAATATCACAGTGTCACAGCTCACCATAAGGTCAGTCATCTCATCAGTGTCGTCTTCTCTGTCTCCATCCTGTCCTCTATCTGCACCTGCACAGAAACAAAGAGGACAGAGTGATGACATATTCTCCCCAGGGATGATGAGACTACTCCGTGTCTGTGAGATGTTAGCTGAAGAGAGTGCTGTCAGGTGTAATGTAAACTGTCATGTAAGGCCTTAACCCTTAGAAATCAACAAGAAACAACTTTTTGTCAGATTCAAATAATTATGAAATACCTAGTACTGAAAGTGGTGTCAACTGAAAGTCTAGAATTGTCTTCTAGCTGTTACACATTTTCAGCCGCAAGGTGATATGATGAAAATGACTTCATCCCTGTCTGAATGACCAATCTGTTACCGTCATCATCGCTACTGTCAGTCTCTTCTGTGCCCTCTGCCTCCTGGTCTCCATGGCTACGACCCCCTAGAGGGCGGCGAGGAAGTCGGCGCTCTACCCACCCTCTGGCCCTCAGAGCAGCACGAATAACAGGGTATGGACCCTCTATGGAGAACACCTTCCTCTCCTGCAAAACCATCAGCATCAGTTACAGAATAAGTGAGGAACTAAAGTGTGGACCCTCACAGGTTTTATGGGCCTCATGAAGGAGATTATCTCTGATGCTCATGATTATCTCTGATGCTCATGATTTTCAGCATAGCTTATTGATCACCTTATGCAAAACCTTTAAGATCTGCTTTCTCAGCTCCTTGGTTTGGTGCTTGGACTGGACCAATGAAGTGCCAATTGGTGCTTAGGACCCATCACAGTCAGGAAATGGGACAGTACTACATATTACATGCACTCTTCCAAACATGCAAATGGGGGACAGCAACTAAACCAAGAGAGGGTATTAAGATTAAGATACTTCTTTGTCTGTAAATATTTTCAAATTATTCAAATCATAAGTATGTCTACTTGGATTGAGTTTCTTTAATCTGAACTCCATTTTTAAAGTCAGGTACAAATCAAGTTAAATATGTCTTTCCAAACAGTTGAATTCTGATAAATTCACATATTCTAAATTGATCTCATTCTGAATTGATCAGCAGTACAGGTTATACTGCTCTTCATCATCATCAACTAATTATTTATGTTAAGAGCACTCAGAGGGCACTCACCTTCACAGCTTTGTCCACTAAAGCCTTGGCCATTCTCAGTCTGTCCAGGTTTAGCACAGGAAGACTTACACGACTGCAGCGTACCCTGCCCTCCACAGGAGGTACTGCATCACACACACACACAATTATTTTCCATTTAGGGAACAAACCTTTCTATCTGAAGCTGTGTGTGTGTGTATGTGTGTGTGTGTGTGTGTGTGTGTACGTTCTTGCAGATGTGTGTGATACCTGGCATGTGGTGCTGCATGCCTGAGTGCTCAAGGTCACTTTTGACGTCCACGTCAACCCTCTTTTCTGTAGAAACGAGCTGCATTTTTCTTTCTCTGGTTAAAACTGGCATAATAAGTTAAAAAATAAAAAAAAATAAAAGGAAAGACATACATTGTGTGAAGGTTTGCAGAAACCTGTTTAAATTTTAAATGGACATGTATGAGTAACAATAGAAATGTTGTGGGGCGATGCCTATGGATGTTGAAAAGCTTCAAAAACATAATAGCGATGCCTATGGATGTTGAAAACCTTCGCAAACACAATAACAGACTGTTTTTAAATCTCTTAAATTGTGCCCTGCTGCCTTCTGATTAGTTAAAACCTTTATAGAATGCAGCTAGATCTTTAAATGTGATTTTCTCTGTTTGGGCTTTTCAGTGGTATTTGTAACAGTAACATACTGTAACTTACTGTAACATACTGTAACTTTTTTTATTGACAAAAAGTAACATGTTTGTGGGAGTTAATTGTTTTAATAAACGTTAAAGTCCAAGGAGTCAAAGCTTCACCATTTCACATATAAAGCTACACACAATACTGCACCAGCTTATATATCTGAACTTTTAACTTTATATTTTCCATCCCGTGCCCTGTGGTCAGCTACCTGTGGTCTGCTTATAGTCCCGAAGACTAGTCACCATACTGTGATCGAGCATTCTCCTCTGCTGCTCCATGCCAATGGAATCAGCTCCCTGATAACATCTGAGCAGCAAACCATCTGAATTCTTTTAAATCTCTTCTTAAAATCTTAGAACATTTTTTAGGGATGCATACTGTTGCTAATTTTCCCTTAATTGTAATTTTTATTCTTATTGTATGTTAATTCATATATTTTTCTTTCTTATCACATGTCTTTACATTCTTTTATATGCTTCTTGTTTCTTATTTCATGTTCTATTGTGTTTTATTATTTCACTTTCATTTAATATAATTTTTGAGTGTTTACTTCTGTGTTTATTTTAACATAGTATTTTCCTTTGTTTTTTTACTTTTTGTTTGATAAGTGCTTTGAGCTTTTGGATTACGCGAAGTATAAATAAAATTTGTTTGTTTGTTTTGTACTGCAGGCCACAATTAAGAGATATGTGACAGAGATACATCATGATAGATGTCCAGAGAAACATAGTCACTAGATGTTGTCTGGATGGAACTTTTCAGCTTAATATCAAAGCATGATTCCATTGTAATATGCTCCAATACCCAACAGTATGATTTTATTAAAACTCTCTCTAATATCCAAGAATGTAATTCTAATGTAATACCCACAATTCTACTGCAATACAACATGATTCTACTGCAATGCCCACCAATTCCCAACAATGTGAATCTTTAGCAATACCCAACAATACCCACAATTCTATTGCAATACCCACCAATAGCCACAATTCTACTGCAATACCCACCAATACCAAACAATACCAAACAACCGCAATACCCACCAATACCCAACAATGTGATTCTGTTGCTATACCCACCAATACCCACAATTCTACTGCAATACCCATCACTGCCAGACAATGTGATTCTGTTGCAATACTCACAAATACCCACAATTCTTCTGCAATACCCACTGATACCCACAATTCTACCACCAAACCTGATTCTGCTGCTATACCCACCAATACTCACAATTATACTGCAATACCTAATTGCCACTAAATGCAAAAACATGACTGTACATTGGCATCAGAGCTCCCATACCTTTTCAGTTACTCATAGTTGTTTCAGTGGTCAGTGATGAGCGTCAGGGCAGCTAATGTCTTTCATCCTTGGTGCAAAAGAATGCATCTTCTCCCTTCATAAGCTGTTTACGTTCTGGTATCTTGTATTGTCCAGGTTGTTGGGTAAAAAACTGTCTCTCTCTGTGTTTGATTTCTACTAGTCTACATCTACAGTGTGCACCATCGAACTAGCCTCGTCTCGCACTGTAATGATCATCACTGACGTTCTGCCTGCGCCTCGTGCACTTCCTATCTTCCACGGCGCTGTTGACAGTACCCATAACAACGGTAGCCCGGCAACGGAGACGCCAAATGCTTTAGGTCGCGTTAAGCTACAAGAGCAAAATGCTACACGGGCGAGATTAACAGGTCTAAATCTACCTGTTGGTCATGTTCGTAGGGTTTTTTTTTATCGTTGGTCTGCAAAAACTAGTAACTTTAACTCCTAGTTCTGAAGAGGTTCAAGCACTTCTTGCCTCATTAAATCATCTGCCTTTTTACTTCAGTGCTCCTCCCATTGCAATTAAGTTAGCTAGTTAGTGTGCCAAGCACAAAAGAAAAACAGAACATGTTGGCCAACTCAAAGTTGTTATGGTAGATCTAATTTGACCTGATCAGCACATGGTATATTTTCGTTTGAGTTTTAGGGTTGAGTTGGCCTACCATCCTTGACCAAGCAGGTCCTTCAGCCTGTCCCACCTTGACCAGTTAAGACCAGCAAGAATGTAGTTAATGACCATCAAAGACAATCAACTTCCTACGTTTTTTCTCTTTTTATAAAACACAAGTGAATAGCTTATTGATTGTTTGTTTAAAGATGAACACTTGTTATAGATGGTTTAAGCTAATTTGATGCAGATTTGGATGCTAAAACAATTAACTTGATCTTAAATGCTTCCATTACTTTGTCCTTACTGCACAAATGCTCTTAGCCCATATCGCATACTGTTGCTAAATGACTTTAATGGTTCATTAGATTTTCATATTGTGTTTGTGTGGTGTGAGCATTCAACAGTTAATGCAAGCATTTTGTGTAACTTTCACATTTCATTTCAATCAGGCTGAGATCTAGGTGACCATCCAGGTTCGTATACGGCAATGATGGATAAAAAAGTCCTTTGAAGTCACTCCCTATAAAGCAAAATGACTCAGACAAACTTGCATCAACAGCCATTTTCATAAGGCCTTCTAACGCTTAAAATCCCAGGCTTATTACATGCTAAGTCTTCTTATTTAGTAACTACCAGGACTTCTATGCGAACTGGTTGAGCATCTCTAAGGTTAAAGCGTGTAATAAAACTTTGGGCCTGCTGGCAGACCATGTAAGGGGTTAAGAACGCTATTGACTTTGGCTTGATGTGTTCTTATTAGCCTGTAGAGTTAGGACAAAACCAGCCAAGTCCTTAAATCTACAGTCTGCGCTTGTTTTAGTACACTGAATGCACACAATCTGTTTCTATGGGCTGCAGGTGTACTAACCTTGCATACTTCTGAGCATTTAAACGGAGCAACTAGGTGTAAATTTCACTGCTCATTTTTATCAAAGTCATATGAGGCTGAAATAACCAAGACGTACCATCGCTATTTTACTTTCAATAGCCTCATAAATATATTAATGACCTTCATAACCAATGTCAGCTTAATTAATTAAGTGTTCAAGAATATTAATTCGGGCTAAGAGCTCTCTTATCGAAATGAAAGCAGATTACTGAGGCTAGGAAGATTACAGTAACAGACTGGGCTCCTTTAATTAAACAGTTCACACACATATTTGTATTCCTGTCTATGTTAGGTATATCTATTGTCTTCTGCATTATTATAGCTAAATGATAGTTAAATAATGCTATGCTTACACTTAAACCTAACCCTAACCTTAACCATAGTGGCCAATTTTTTTTCTTTTGTACTTTTGCAGATTATGCTGCATTTTTGAAGGAAACAAAAACATTATTACTCGAGGGGAACAAACAAATGCCCTTTAGAACATAAAAGTGTTCCTGTTCATCATCCTGGGACCCGCCCCCACAAGAAAGACACACTTTTATCGTCCCTTTCTGTCCTCTGAAGCATGTAAATCTCAACTTCTTCCAGGCCTGTATCTGCTGGCGCTTATTAAGCGCACTGTATTGTGATTTGGCAGGGGGCTCTCTGATTGGCTGAGCAGCCTGTGACGCTGCACCGTCACTAACCGCTCTTCAGGCGGAGAGGAGAGAGAAGGGACTAAACTCACTCATCCTCCGGACTGGAGACGTAACAGAGAGTTCAGCTTTTTGCCTTAGTTGCAGTGGCTGTTGCTCTCACCATGCCTTTCTCGGGTGGACTGATGCTTCACTGACACCTCCGCTCCCTCTGATACATCTCCTTCTCTCTCTCCTCCCGAAGCCGCATCCTGTCTCTGCTGGAGGGCTGAACGCCACTGGGGGGAAACTACAATGTCTGCAGAAACCAGCGGCCAGGAGAGCATGCTGAGCTACCAGGTAGACTAACAGCCTCGCTTTTTATATTTGCTTCAGGTGCTGTTTTTATTTTATTTTTTTAATCTTTATTACTACTTTTTTGAACACAGAGCAGCTTTAAACAACATCCTGCTGCCTGAAAGTCTGCCCAACGCTCAACAGCCTCATTAAACATACAGTCTGCCTTATCAACCCCTTCAAGTACAAAATACACATGACTCCATTATTGTGGTGGCTATCTGGTGAGGAAGAGGGACCCATCTGAGCGAACCGGGTCGATAGTACGAGCTGTTCTTTTCGCTCAGAGAGGGAGCAGCCAGTCCGCAGTCTGCCATGTGGCCAAGAACGTGTCTCATTTCTGCTGTGTAGAAGTAGTGAAGCCAGTGGTGTTCGGCAGATGCCTCTTTTCGCAGCATCTGAGGCGGCCACTGCGGGCTATGCGCGGCTAATGCTCTGGGTGTTTTTTCATGCTCGCAGGCACGTGCGGCGCCAGCGCTCAGCGCGCGCATCACGGCAGAGCAGAGCGCGTGCGTTATTAGCTCGTTATTAGCCACAGCTGTTTTCTGATCCCTTCCGGATGGAGACATCTCGAGTCAGACAGAGCGTTGCTGAGGGAAGAAGCGATTTCCAGTGTATTCCAGGTTGTTGCAGGCTACTTGTGTGGCCATATTTTAATCTCGCCGGTGGCCAGAACGTGAGAAAAAACCCCGAAAACAGAGGGAAAGAGCGTTTCTAAGCAACAGGGAACGTATGTAGCGTTATGCTGAGGTAATTTAATACGTAGGCTGTAATGTAGACCTGT